CACGCGCACTTAACCGCTAAGCCACGGGCCGGTCCAGAAATTCAGCTTTTAAACTCTCAAGTTCAGTATAAGATTTCCCAGTACCCAGCATGTCTGATACACAACAGGTACTCAATAAACACTTACTGGATTAATAAATCCTCGTCTAGAAAAGGTCTTATGTCTCAAGAGCGAGGCTGCCTGGGTTCAAATCCTGGCTTTACTGCTCAACCTTGGCAAGATTCTTAACATCCCCAGCCTCATAAATGTTTCTTTTCTCTATAAATGAGGGTAAGTGTAGTCCTTACCTCATACGGTTGTTATGGACTAAATGAGTTAATAAATGTCAAGTGTTTAGAACTGTGCCTGGCATATATTAAATGGTATAGAAATGTTAGCTGTACAGGAGTTGAGTAACAATTAATATTTAAAAAGCTACTTTACAGTTTACAAAACACTCTAACCTCTCTTCAATTTATCCTCACCTTGTGATGTCATAATCATCACCCCAATTTATAAATGAGAAAACCACGCTCAGAGAGCATTTGCTAGAGATCCCTTAGACAGTAAACAAACTTTATACTTGAACCCCATATTCTTTTCCTTACAACATGCTGTCTGGAGTTTTGTATTAGTACCCATACACAAATGGAAGCTGTTCTGCTGACAATAAAGAGAGGAACAACAAAAATGTTTTCCTTTGTTTCCAATCTCATAATTGAAAATATGATTTCATGGATTTTTTTTTGAGATACCTACTTATTAGCAGGTGTGATGGTTAAAGTATGAGATTCCTTTGCCTTCATAAGGTGGAGCCTAACTGCCCTCCCCTGAGTGTGGGCTGGACCCACTTCTAATGAACTGAGTAAGACGTTAGGTGACAGCACTGTGCAGCTGCAGAGACTAGGTCATAAACGGCGTTGTGTCTTCCTCCTTGCCTTCTCTCTTGGTCACTCTCTCTGGGGGAAGTCAGCTGCCATGTCATGAGGACACTCAAGCTGTGCTATGGAAAGGTACATGTGGCAGAGGTGAGACCTCCTGGAAGCAGCCATGTGCGTGAGCCACATGGAAGCGGCTCCTCCAGCCCCAGCAAAGCCATCAGATGACTACATCCCCAGCCAACATCTCAACTACAGTCTCACGGGAGACACTGAGCCAGAACCACCCAGAGAAGCTACTCCCAGATCCCTGACCATAGATAATAAATGTGTGCTGTTTTAAGCCACCAAATTCTGGGGTAATCGGTTATGCAGCAGTAACTAACTAATTGCATACCAAAGCAATTTTTCCATACCACCAGGAAAGTAAGTTTCTCTATTTAAAAAAATAAGATACCTCAATTCTTATGAAAGCATCATCCAGCAATATAAAATAGGTCTCTTTGTTTACTTTAAACCAATGTTTCCCAAAGTGTTAACTGGTTCAAGATTTTCAAATTTAAAAAATTTTATTTTTAAAATTATCATACAATAAAATTTACTTAAGATTTAGATATTTTAAAATGTTATTAGGAAGTATATAACTAGCACATTTAATCTGCAACTTCATGGATATTAAAGTTTCTTTTTTAAAAAACCAAAAGTTAAAAAAAGATAATTTTTTTTGAGTACAGCCTCACAATACCTTATTTGCAATGTGAAACACAAAAACTCTGAAAACTAATCTTCTTCATAAATTTGGCACAAACTCATTCGGTGGCATAGCTTGACCTAACATAAGGCTATTACAGACTTTATCCTGCTCTGTGTGAAAATTCTTAAGTTTCACTGGAAAATACAATGTGATCGTGGCGTGCTACTTAAGACTCCATTGGCCCATACACTAGTGTTTGGTATATGTACCGTATTACTCTTTAGAATCTGAAAACTTTTCAATGGAAACATTTTAAAACAAAGCAACCACTGTCTTTTAGAAAGCAAACTGTTGGCAGTGTGAAGCATAGGTTGGAAAAGAAAGTGACTAGAGAGAACTAGACAGACGGCTCCTGAACAGCACAGCGCAGGGCAGGGAGAACTGACAGGCCATACTGCAGAGGCAGAACTAACAGGAATTGCAGAGTGACTGGTGGAGAAATGAGAACAAGCCAAAGATGTCAGCGGACTCGGAGTTTAAGACCTGAATAGCTGTATGAGGAACCTGCAGGGTGGGGTTAAGGAGACAAAAATAACAGATTCGATTTTTGGACACACTGAGTTTGAGATGCCAGCAGAAAGGTGGGCCTACAATTCAGGAGATCTGTCAGATTTAAAGCAGAGTCATCAGCATGGAGGCATCATTAATGACTCAAGAATACTTAGAAAAGTGGGCGGGGGGACACGAAGTAAAGAAAGGTGAGGACAAAACTTAGGGAATGCCCACAATTTAAAGGAACCCTAAAGGAGCCAGTGAAGAAGCTGAGAACACCACTGGGGAGACTGGAGAACCAAGACAGGAAAGGGTCACAGAAGACAAATGACAAAAAGCGTTTTAAGGAAGCGTAGTCAGTATTACAAAAGGCTGCAGAAACTCAAGTAAAACCGAGCTTCTCAAATTGGAAACACACACATACAGCCACTCCTGGGGCGAGGGGCGTGGGACACAGTTCAGGACCAAAGTGGCATACGACCCGGAACACCTTTATACAGAGATTTGTGGGAGAGCTAAATCTAATTGGTATGTTATTTAAAACACGTTTATGGTAAAAGAATTATACCATGAAGTAGAATGAAAAAATTCAATGAATTTTTAGAAAGAGAAAATGTAAGATTTCAAAGAAATTTCTTGCTAGAGGAAGGCTGCTTTGAGCTATGTTCCCAGGCTCCTGGGTACAATTTTCTTTTTTTTGCCATTCAGGGATCCTCTGGAAAAAGTTAAAGAAACACTAAGTAGGAAAAGAACTAAGAAACTACTAAACATGGTCACTCTTCTTTTCAAGATCACAGTTTTCGTATAAATGGTGAGGGGAGAATTTAAGAAGCAAAGAGAGCAAGAGGGGGTAATAACAAAACGAAAGTAGAGGGCTGCTTTTCACTACGTTCAGTGTAAAAAGGCGACCGAGAGTAGCTCAGGGTTGGGAGTTGATAGGTTTTTTTGGAGAGGGGATATCTGAGGACATTCCTAAATTGAAGGGAAGGAAGCAGTGGGGAGGCAGAGTTAAACATGAGAAAGAAAACAATTGACAGAGCAGAGCCTCAGAAGAAAAAAGGGATGCATCAAGAAGCCAAGAAGAGGGGCCCTTAGGAAGAAGTAGGGATGCGCAGTCCTCTGAAACCACGGGAATTTTCACCCCAGAGAGTAGGGGCCTCATCTGACTTGTTCACTGCTGCACAACTTGGATTTGGTGCTGTGGTAGACACACACTAGACTCACATAAATACTTGCTGAATTAAAATGAAATAAAACCACCCCATGTGATTATGATTCCAATACAACAATATCTGAAAACTTATTTTAAAACAAAAACTTCTTACATTGTATTATCCTTTGATTCTTCAAATGCATTCAGTTCACGGATAAGAAACTGTCTGTCCAAAGGAACTACAGGTTGACCAGATTCTGGAGGAAAAATCATGACAACACTGAGTCTTTATTAATCTAAAAAGCAAATATGATTTTATAAGAACCACAGTTACCAGGTAAACACATTTGTCAGACTTTAGAAGAATGATGATGGCCCATACTAAAACAGATCCAACTGTACGTGATTTTATGACTTTCAAAATGTCTATTTTGTTAAATGTGTACCTTAATACAGCTCAACACAAATTCATTTCTTAAATCTCCCCAGTTTTGGTTGGGAAGATATTGTTTCTGCATACTAGACCTCAGAAGTCTGTTTTCTAAGAAGCTTATAAATGAAACACATGACAGTAGTGATACCCCTTTGGTGGCAATAATTCTAACAGCAAAACTAACCCTGATATGAAGTGCTGGTGAGGATACAGGGCAGCTGGAACTCGCAGACTCTGCTGGGAGAGCAGGGGGACAGCCCCTCTGGAAGGAGCTGAGCTGCTTCTTATCAAGGCGAGCTCACACTTCCACACAGCACCCAGCAATGCTACGCTCACACTTCC